TCCGAGCTCCTCGGCTTTGGGAACCCGGGACGCTTCGGGGTTTAGGGTTCAGGGGTTTAGGGTTTAGGGTTTAGGGTGTAGGGTTTAGGGGTTTAGGGTTTAGGGTTTAGGGTTTAGGGTTTAAGGTTTAGGACTTTAGGGTTTAGGACTTTAGGGTTGAAGACTTTAGGGCTTTAGGGTTTATGGCTTTAGGGTTTAGGGCTTTAGGGCTTTTTAGGGCTTTAGGGTTTAGGGCTTTAGGGCTTTAGGGTTTAGGGCTTTAGGGTTTAGGGTTTAGGGCTTTAGGGTGTAGGGCTTTAGGGTTTAGGGCTTCAGGGTTCAGGGCTTCAGGGTCTAGGGTTTAGGGCTTCAGGACTTCAGTATTCAGGGTGTAGGGTTAGGCCTTTAGGGTTCAGGGCTTCAGGGTTTAGGGCTTTGGGGCTTTAGGATTTAGGGCTTTAGGGTTTAGGGCTTTAGGACTTTGGACTTTAGGGTTTAGGGCTTTGGGGTTTTGGGCTTTGGGGTACGGCCCAAACAAGTTTTCTTGGTTCTTTAATCGATGTATGACGGTGTTGAGGGTTTGGGTAGCTTTTTGTTCGTATATTTCGACCCTGCAAGAGGGTATGAAGCTCGCCAGGTGGACCTTTGCATGCAGCTCCGTTTTTCTAGATTAGCGTATTTGCTCATTGCAGGGTCAAAGCTTTTGGAACAGGGGGGTCGCCACCACAACGTTCTACAAGTCAGGGAGTAGGTAGAGGCCTGGAGCGTTTGAAAACGCATCCAGCCGGAATTGCACACTTTGCTGCCTTTTCCTTTGTGAGATTCAGGATGATGTAGGGTTTAGGGTTGCCGAGGCGTCATTGTGCAGCATCCCACTCGCTCAGGCAAAGGGGCAGCTCTGTCCACATCAGGCTGCCCGTAAGCAGGCGGTGGCTCCTCGAAATGAACCCTAAACCCTAAACCTTGAACTCTAAGTTAAGCCCAGAACCCCTAGCCTAAACAGTAAGCTCAAAAGGGAGCGCTAACGTGGGAGTTTGGATTAGGGGGACCCTTGGGGATATAGACCCTCTCAATAAGGTCCCTTTCAAGAGAGCCAAAAGTAGTTTTCAGAAGGGGTACCCTTTAAGCTCTAAACCCCCAAACTCAAAGCCCTGCGCTGGACCGCGGAAACCATGTTCCAAGCAGCCCAGCGGAGCGGCTTGCCACGGTTTAGGCTTTAGGGTTTAGTGTTTAGGATTTAGGGTTCAGGGTTTAGGGTTTAGGGTTTAGGATTTAGGGTTTCGGGTCTAGGTGCCATCGAGTCGTAGGGCACCTAGTTAAGCGTCAGCGTTTTGGGGGAATTCACACAAGTACTTTGGGAGCTCAAGAGCGCTAAGCGAGACTCTTTTGTGAAGCAAGTGTATCAATCGCACATGATTTTGAGGAACCGCCAGGTACGCATAGAACTCCACCTGATCAAAGTGCTGTGGGCAGGCGCTTGGCACAATGCTTGGCCCATGTCCCTGAAAGCTCTGTAAGCTCCGCCACCAGAGCGGAAAGTCCAAAGCTGCTTCTGAAATACATCCGAGCGAAAGAGAGGATTTCGGTAAACTTAGTGCACCCTGTCATACTCTTCAACAAGGGGGGCTTCGGATTTGGGTTGTTTTTTCCGATGTGGCTTTAATTGCGGTCTGGTGCTCGGTAGTGAATGGGGTTATAGGGACTACTATACGGGGCCTTATCATAGGGATCCACTCCCCCATTCCCTACTAAGCACCAGATTTTTATGCGACCTGGTCCCCTGGATTGTCGAGTTGGGACGGTGGGCCTCATAGAGCAGCTCTCCTAATTAACCTAAGGTTAGAGGTATGGGCCCCTAGTAGCCCTAGTATGGACCCCTCAGGCCTTTCTAGGGATCCTTACGGGTACATATAGGGTATATAGTAGGTGTAAAGGGATCCCAGGGTTAAGGGCCCATCATCGAGCCCCCGTCGTATCTCCTGTCTTGTAGAACGCCTCAGACACGAAGCTCTGTGAGAGTGAAGTTTCTACTTCTTGCCGGTCACCCTAAACCCTAAACCCTAAACTCCGGTCCCTAAACCCTAAAACCCGGTCTTCGCAAAAAGGAAAGTTAAGCCCTCGGACCCTCACCACTGGGCAGAACCGTGTTGGGAGGTGGCGTTCTGAACGCTCTGTGGCGCGCGCGCGCGTGCGTGCTGTGTGCTGAGCCGGCTACCCAATGTGTCCTCGGAGCTTTTTGGGGTGTTTCTGAAAGTTGAGTGTCATTTAGGCAAATTTAGGGGGCCCTCCAGCAAGGATCCCGCTAAGTGTCCCACTATCTAGGATTTATATTTGCGTCGCCAGTTTTTCTGAAACTCCCGCCACTTACCCAAAGGGTCCATGATCCATGTACCAAAGAGTATATACTTCGACCTTGAAGTAGTCCGCATATAGGTAAATTGGGGCCAAAGTCTATCTTATTTGGGCACATGGACCCTTAGGGTTAGGTCAAGGGTTTCAGGGCTGAGGCCTTAAATGCAGGGTTGGGGCCGGGTCGTCGGAGGTTCGTGGCGCAGGGTTTACGGCATAAGGTTTGGAGCTCGTAGGGTATAAGGTTTAGGGTGTAAGGAGTGTAAGGCCTGAGGTGTTGCTTTTGGGTTTATGGTGTAGGGTGTGAGTATTGGGTTTCAGAGGTTTCGGTAGCAGATATGAATAGGGGTGTCTGACGTGTAAGGTTCACGGATGACTTGGATCTCGACGTCGTCTATTCCCTTAAACCCACCTGAAACCCGACTTCCGGAAGGGCCTGCGGAATCGCGACCAAGAGGCTTCTAGCAAGGGTATGTGTTGTGGGTTCTCTATCTTAGGGTCCCTATTGAACCTAAAGGGACCCTACTTTAAAGAACTACCCAACCCTAAGTCCTAAACCCTTTTGGACCCTAATTTCGAGAACTACCCATCTGGGGTTCTGGGCGAAGGATCAACAGATCCCAGAGAGCCCAATACCCCTTAATTAAGGAATATACCTTAAATCATAATATTAAGGCCTCCAGGTATATTCCCTAAACCCTAAACCCTAATAGTCTAAGGTCTACTCCCTAATTAAGGGGTATGGGGCTCTCTGAGAAGCTCTCAGCTAGCAGGTGGTCAGATGGCGCTTGAGGGTTAAGGGTTCAGAGTTGAGAGGTTCAGGGTAGCAGGGTTTTAGGGTTTAGGATTTAGAGTTTAGGGTTGCAGGGTTTGGGGGGATCTGGAGGAGAGTTTCAATGAGGTGTATGGCTCAGTGAGATATTGAAGTGTTCCTTTGCTGCGGTGCTTTGTGTGCTCGTGTGCTTGTGACTGGGATTCAGATTTCGCATCGTCATCTAGCTTTTGATCCGGAGTTCTGCGCGTCTTTGTTTCGATGCGGCCCACAACTCTAAACCCCTAAACCCTAAACCGTGAAAAACCCATAGACCCTAAACCCCCAACCCTAAAACTTAAACCCGGGCACGGAATCTCACACCCTGGGTCATGAATCCGTGTTTTCGAGATTGAGGTTGCCTTGGACCCAAACTCTTTCTTCTTCTGTTGTAGTATATTTTGTTCTAGTCTATTCTATTCTACTCTATTATATTCTGTTTTTTTATTGTACTGTATGATTTACATGGTTTGTACTGTGCTGTATTGTCTTGTGTTCATTGTATCTTCTTGTATTGTAATTTTATTGTACATCATGTTGCATGGTGTTCGGCTATAGTAGCAGTATTGCATAGCTATAGTATGTACTATTTTACAATAACATATGGGTGGTTGTCAAAATTATGGTCCCTTTTTGAGTCCTTACGGCACCTATTATTTAGGGCCCAAAAGGGACCCTAATTTTGACAACTACCCAGAAAGTAAACTGCGCAGAAGCCCAAATCCTAGAATCCTGGAAGCTCGAATTGCTCGGGGTTTCTGAGGAGTATCGTGTCTTGGGAAATAGAGGCTGTTGATTGTTTCGGGATAGGGTTCATCGAAGTCTTTGCAGCCCTGCAGGTTCAAATGCATCGGTCATGGAAACCATGCGAAACTCCTCTTGGCTATGAGTCGGAGTCGAAGGAGTTTGAGCTTAGGCACATTCAAAACTGCAGGACTGGCGGCTCAAGATTTGGGGTTGGGGAGCAAGACACTATCCCAATCTAAACCCTAAACCCCCCTGACCCTGCATTCCCCCCCAAATTCAGACATAGAAAAGTTTTTTAAGCGCATCCCGATTGCACAATGCTGTCGCTTGGAGGCCCGGGGGGTTTAGGGTTTAGGGTATAATATTATCTGCACCTGAACCATTCGCATTCATTATCATAGCAGTCAGCTTGCCAGCATGGTAATGATTTTCAGTTGTTATTGTCACCAGTGTGCTGCAGACGTTCCTGAAAATTACGTAGCTGTACACGTGCTCCCTGCTGCTCGTTTCGTCTTGCCCTTCATCACAAAGGGGCCCTTGAGCGAAACAAGGCCTTTGCCTGTCCTTAAATATAGGGGCCTAAATAATGACCAATACGATGTTGGGGTTCGTGATTATAGTTACAGTATTATATACCCCAAAACTGTTGTTTTGACGGTTAAGGCCTCTGAATTAGGCTTGAGTGAGGCCGCGAAGCTCCGCTTGATGGGTTTCTTGTTCTTCCAAACTTAACCGAGGAACAAGCAGAGGGACCCTAAACTCAACATTCCGCTTTCAAGAAGTTGACATTTGCATTATAAGCAAACTCCATTTCGTTTGGAGTTTGGGGTTTGGGGCTGAGGGTGTGCAGGGATTAGGGCTTTCTGTAGGGCTTGCTTCATTCACGTACGTGTTTGCAACGCTGCAGCCTGCAAAGCATACATCCTAAATCCTAAGCCCTATATAAGCCTCTAAACCATTCAATCTCAGTGTCCCCTGCGACTAGGTACAAGTTTCAGAGCCCAGGCAATCGACAAGCAATGTTATACAAAGTCTCACTACCTAGCAATTCTATTCCTTGTGAAGCCAGTACCTAATCGAACCAAAACTTCGCACCCCACAGCCCAGCAGGACGAGGAGCCCAAAACGCGCTTCCAAAATTCTCCAGGCCCCTATGTTAGTTGTTGTGGCACCCTAAACCCAAAAGCCTAAACCCGAAACCCTAAAGCCTAAACCCTAAACCCTAAAGCCTAAACCCTAAACCCTAAGCCCTAAACCTACTACCTTGGGCCCAGCTTGGGCCCCGCATTCTGCCGTTTTCCGAAGACATGTGCGTTGATTCCAAACGAAGGTCGGTGGGAATCCTGAGTACATAATAACTCGTAATAGTATCCTTCCGCAGCCCCAGTATAATTATGAGATATCCCCGAAACCCTATTCTAGTTCATAGGGCTCCTACATTGCACTCCGGGTGTACATGTGCACCGTCCATGCAAAAAACAGAGCTTGCGCATCGCAGGCGACGAGTTTTGGGAGCTGCACCGGCGCTTGGGCGAATGCTACCGTGCCGATGTCTACAGCAGCTCGACTTGCTAAGCCCTAAAGCCCTACAGCCCCAAATCCTAAAGCCTAAGCCGTGCCTTATATCCCTGAAGCCTTTACATTGAGGATCCTCCTCTCTGGGGCGTATCTCAGGGGTTTATGCTTGGAGAACCTTTATGAAATCCCTAAGCCTGCAGAATTGTGCCCAAGGCAGCAGTCAATCACACCGAGCCTTCCAGCTGGACCTCAAACCTCAGTATAGGGGCTTCAAGCAGTTTGGGGATGTTATTCTATCTAAAGTACATCGCAGATTCTCAGAAGTACGAAAATACCCTAACCCCCCCAGGTACCTACTATATCGGGCCTTAGGGGGCTCTAGTACCCTATATAGTAGGTACCTGGCAGGTTAGGGATATTCTGACTAATCATTCCACTGGTCCAACAAACGTTGAAGTCTACACCACGAAACTTGGAAGCCCGAGCCTCTAAGTTCGAATATAGAAGCCAAAATAATTAACAATCTTGTTCCTTACCAGGACCCCCAAATGGCCCTTTAATGGAGCCCTTATGGTCCCTAATACTAGGTATTTGGGGTATAGTAGAGAGTAGTTGGGGGGTCTAGGTAGGGTTCCTCATTATGATTATACTGCAAAGGGCTCCAAAGACCTATTATAATTATGAAGGCCCTTATATATCGCTCTCAGGCCTCACCCCCGAGACCAACCCTTCCTGAATTGGAGCAGTGTGCGTCTATTCGAACGCCCTACTTTCGGCCGACGAAGGCAGGCCGGAGCAGCGCAGGGTAATATATTAATATAGCGGCCTCAATAATTAGAACAGGGTTT